TTTTTTTTGATACAAAAATTTAAGAATTAATATAGTCTTTTAAATTTAAAACGTGTTAAAAAAAAAGAAAAAGGAAAAAATTGAAAATTAAAAAAAATTAATGTGTGATTTTAATGTTCTTGAGCGTGCGGTTTTATGTTGCCTAAAACAGCAAACTTTTTTACCTTTATTATTTTAATAGTTTTTTTTTTTTTTTTTTTTCAATATTTATTTATATATTCTTTAGTATTTTTTTAAACATCTATCTAATGAAAAAATATAAAAATAAATATAATAAAAAAGTTATTGACTTATAATTGATAACTGTTTCGACCCGAAATTACACGTATTTTAAAGTGCTTAAAAACTACGTATTGCATTTTTCAAGTAATTAAAATGTCATAAACAATATCCTGGTTTTAAAAGCGACCGCAGTTACTTAATAAAATGTTTTCGTTATTCAACAGTTAAGTATTATTTAATACATTTTATACACTATTATATTGCGGATATTGCATTCAAAAATGCAAATACCAATTTTCCGTTTAAATTTTGCAAGTATCGCCAACCGACGAACAACTATACTCTGAAAGCAAAAAATAAATAAATTCATAATAACTTATTTAACGATTCTTTTTAGGTTCATGTCAATACTTTCGCCTGCCTTACTATAGTGTTTGCGGGTTGTAATAGCCGTTAGGAGAGGTTGATATTTGAAGAGGTGGGGAGGGGGAGTCATAGATTTGTTGTGAAAATTAGAGATTGAATCCATTCCTATAATATGGCAGGGGACAGGGCTGTACTGAACAACGAAGACGTAGGGGGAAGGGGTGTAAATTAAATAAGCTTTTTTACCATAAAAATCTCACCAAAGTAGGGCTTTTTTTTTATTTAAAAGCCAAGTTGCAGTTTTAACTGACCGAGTCTCAAATTTTCTAAAATACTGACAAAATCAAAAATAGTCTCTCCTTGGCAGGAGAGACTATTTTTGATTTGCGATTGTTATTGCACACTACCTATAGGAAGCAGCACATAAAAAATATAAGTTAAACGTTCAATAAGCGTACCAAATTTGATATAATTGACTAACGGGCATTATTTGTTAATTCCATGCTGATTGGGTGTTTATAAATAGTTGCAACAACTTCATAGACAGTTGTCTCAGAGCTGGGAAAAAATTAAAATAATCGAATTTTGCCTAAAACATTTCTTTTGAATAACAGTTTAGTTCGACTGGGCTCTAGGATTCACAACTAGTAAAGTGTTTAATTACGATAAAATAATATTTATCGCCTTAATAATGCTTCCTCGTGTGTGAAATTTTTATTCGAAAGATTATTTCTTTTTTCAAGCACTAAATCTTGCTTTAGTCGACTAAATTTAGTTACACTAAATATTTAGTCGACTTATTTGAGTAAACTAAAAAGTTAGTCGACTAATTTTAGTTAGACTAAAAAGTTAGTCGCTTAATTTTAGTTAGCTAAAAAGTTAGTCGGGTAATTTTAGTTAGCTAGAAAGTTAGTCGGGTAATTTTAGTTAACTAAAAAGTTAGTCAGGTAATTTTAGTTAACTAGAAAGTTAGTCGGGTAATTTTAGTTAACTAAAAAGTTAGTCGGGTAATTTTAGTTAACTAAAAAGTTAGTCGACTAAATTTAGTTAACTAAAAAGTTAGTCGACTAATTTTAGTTAACTAAAAAGTTAGTCGGGTAATTTTAGTTAACTAAAAAGTTAGTCGCGTAGTTTTAGTTAACTAATAAGTTAGCCGACTAATTTTAGTTAACTAAAAAGTTAGTTAACTAATTTTAGTTAGACTAAAAATTTAGTTAAGTATTTTTAGTTAGACTAAAACTAACCTTAACTCCCACCCCTAATTATTTTCTGCGGACAAAATTAAATGATTTCAAAATTTGCATCACAGGGTACCTTGATGTGTACGCTAACTTTCCGTATAAGTGGCGTTCTTGGGACAGTTAGGTAGGAATTATAAGAATCCGTGCTAACCGTGATCATCTGACTCAGAAAAGTATTCTCTACAATATGATTTAAAAATATTTGCAAAAAGATAAACCAATAATTAATTAAGAGAAAAAGAATAAACATTGTCATAACTATTTCATTCTACCCGCTATTTCATTTTACCCTGTTTTATTTTAATTATTGACGGGCTATTGTAGTATATTAATTTTTTTAGTTTTTATCAAATAACAATCTTATTTTACAACGGTTCAAGGAAATATTCCTGATACCTTTTACAACATAATAATATAAAAAAATCATCATTATATTTAGAATAAAAAACTATATTAAGCCGTATTTTTAAAAATTTTAAAAGCTAGTTTAAAAATGTTATCTATCAAAAATATTTTTTACATATTCTGATAGATAGTCCTAATCTATATTGATCTGCTTTACATTATGATATTTCTTAAAACTTGTTTAAACAAAATTTAAGTAAACGAGACCGACTTAAAAAAGTGGCCAAAAATATACTTACTAACCTTACGATAAATAAAATGTTACCACACCTTTCAACATACCATAACATCACAAGTTATCGATTTAACAAGATTTAACATATTTTACTGAAGAAGTAACCTACTTAATACCAATAGTTTATAATTTACTAAAGCTCGATTAGGTTAAAATTAGATTAAACCAGAAAAACTGTTTACATTTTAGTTGAACTCAAAAAAAGAAAAATAATTTAAACCATTTTTTTTTTGGTCTTTTTAATGTTTTCGCTTTTAAAGAAGACTGGATTAAATTGCATTTTATAAGTAAATATGCATATCACGTATCAGTTTTGGAACATTGAACTCATTAAACTTTATTAACTCAAGAATTTCAAGCTAAAATCACATTGAAAATCCAAAGGTTAAAAGATGAAAACAAAACCGATTGGTATTAATTTTCTATACAGGCTACTAAAGAAATTGTATTGAAATATTTAAAGTGCAGGCGTCTGAATTACTACACCCTGATTTGGAGATAGAAAAATATAATACACATTTATTTCATAAAATACAGTGTTATTTTGTTCTATCTCCATTTTCTGTTAAAAAATATAATACAAACTAGTATTTTTTATATATATTGTGGCAAGATGATTGTATATTTTGGCAATTAAAGTACTGTAAGGTACATATCTGTTTTATTAGAAAAAAAAATCTTATTTTAAACTATTGAACAAATAATATAAACACGCTATTTTGCCTAAAATTCAATTCAACAGAGAAGATAAGTAATATATTATCTAAAGTATGTACCAAGATTTTCACAACGAAATAAAACTTTAGTTATAAGTTCTGAAAGCATAACATCTAAAACACATTGCACAATAAAAAGATTTCTTAAAGAATAGTTAGTTAACATTTCAGTAAGAAGCCCATTTATCAACATAGCATATAAAACATTTATATTTTGACAATAAAATACTCTTATAAATTGGAAAATTTACAGCAGGCATATTGAACAGATATTGAAAGACATTGACTTTATCATTTGAAATTTGAACACCCTGATTCAAGGCAGAAAACATCAGTACCTCTGCCATTACTAAGATCGTAGATTGTTAACTCATGCTTTTGAGAAAACATTATAACATGATTTTCTGTAGTATACATGATCTGAATGCTAGATGCTTGATCTAGATATAGGCAACAAGCTTAAAATTAAAAAAGCCTGCTAAAAAATGATTGAAATCCAATTTCTTCATTTGGTAAAAAGATTTTTTTTTTTTTTTTTTGATGAGCAGGAATTACTCTGATTAAACCAGAGGGAATAAATATTTCAACAGGAGAAAGTGCTCTATTTGACTGTGGCTATCATCAACTTCTAGTATGGTAGAGTTCCCTGGTCTTAAACTTTTGCTAAATTACTTTGATTTTTGGGTAACATATACACAAAAATCAAAGTAATTTGATTTTTGTGAATAACGTACACAAACCAAAAATCAACAAATATACGTGTTCATTTTTCATCACTGATATTTTGTGTGTATTTAAATTTACCAAAATTTAACAGTCCTTCTTTTTGGTTACAGATTTGCATGAAACATTTTCTCCCTTTCAATTTTTATGCGGATGATCAGATATATATATATATATATATATATATATATATATATATATATATATATATATATATATATATATATATATATATATATATATATATATATATATATATATATATATATATATATATATATATATATATATATATATATATATATATATATATATATATATATATATATATATATATATATATATGTATATATATATATATATAATATAAGGGGCGGACTGAGGTTTGAAATCGGCTCGGAAATTTTACATTTGTCTGGCCCACATCAAAGAAAAAGAAACTATAAAAACGGGTTAAAAATTCATAAAACCTGAGAAAATACCCAGAATCAGTTTTTCTTTTTTATCACATAATTTTTCAGTTCCTCACATTCTTTTCATGCGTTCACTCATTTTGAAACTTTTGACCAACCTGATTTATGCCAGTCCAACGGCCCAAATTCATACCGGCCCACCGGGAATTCTCCCAGTGCTCCCTTGGGCCAGTCCGCCACTGATATATATATATATATATATATATATATATATATATATATATATATATATATATACATATATATATATATATATATATATATATATATATATATATATATATATATATATATATATATATATATATATATATATATATATATATACTACGGTGTGCCATACTATTTTTTTTTCCAGATTCAAAACCCTGTATTTTAAAAACTTGTATTTATATATAATTTTACTAAAAAACTTTTCTTATTAGAAAAGCAAATTTTTGCTTATGGTTGTATATTTTTGTCGGCTTAAATTTTTTTTTTTTTAATTTTAAAATTATTATTATTAAAATGATTATAATAGTTTCCGTTTATAATGATTTTTCTATCATTTAGTTTTTTATTTAATAAAAATAGATTTTTTTTATTATAATTTATTTTTTTTTAACAAAATAAAATTTACATTTCTTTTTTTTTGTCATTAAAATCAAATCTTTCTTTGACCGATTAGTAGACATAAATTCTCTCGATAAGTCCTGCCCTTTTATAAAACCATCTATAAGGAACACTAAGAAATAACATTGATTTCTGTTACCTGTTTAACTCGTCTTTTAATTGACTGTCCATGACAAGGCCAATTTGGAACAATCTTAGGCTGAAATATTATCTGTTTTACTTCTTCTGTTGTCAGATCACAAGTAAGAATAGGCTCATAGTTAGGTCACAAGTAAAAATAGGCTCATCGGATATATTCCAGTCGATAAGCTTTATAAGCGTTGTTGCATCAGGTTTTATTTCTGGAATTATTCTAGCTCTTACATTTTTATCACCAGTTTGAAGTTTTTCATCACCAGAACCTTTGACTTTTACAATTAACTATATACCGTTCTTTCTTTCCTCTACATTTTTTTAGCAGAGCATGGTCTGTATGATGCACTCAGAGAATGCATACCACGTTGAACGTCGAACTGTTGACATAACAATTTCTACTACTTCACTTGATTGATGTTTCAAAAGGTTAAGCTGGTAAAGAATATGTCTCGGTCCTTCAGTAAATCTGTGCTCGACTTTAATTTTAAACCACATTGGCATGTAAACTCCAACAATAAACTCAGTTATTAATTTAGGGTTTTTTAAATTTCGCCTTCCAACTCGTGTTTTGTGACCCGAACTCTGCAAAGTCTGTTGGCTGTTGCCAACCATCTGGAATGATTAACTGGCCCAATTTCAAGTAAAGCCAAATCTGCGGGTATATTTCCACTTCTAATAGCAGAAACTATTTTATACCAATAAAACTGTTCGGGGGATAAATTTTTGATTACCTCATCCTTTAGAGTAATAAGCAGATTTCCGATCAATTTTTTCAAACGATGGATTAATTTCCAGAGCAGTTGCGTCATTTAATAGTTTTCCAATGCTGCCTCTCCATTTGATGCTACTCAGAGTTTCTCCATCAAGAGTTGTTATCAGATGACGCAGAGAAAGTTCATAAGTAAGGAGTGCGCAAATTAGCCAGTTTAGCTTTCTTCCTAACTTAACTTCCAGCCAATGTATTGCTCCGCCTGACCACCCTGTGTTAACACTAGTAGAATCACAACCAATCGCTGTTAAACTTTTATCGACACCATTACTCTTCAAAAATTCGTGTATATTCTGAGCAATTACTTTAGCGTGTTTCATATGTTTTTGAATTTTTCAGGTGTAAAATGGAAAAGATACCTAACAACGGGCTCTTGACATACTGTATAATGTTCCTCTTTTATTGTAGCAGGATAACATTTATACGGACCTTCGACTTCTAATTGAACTTTTGTATTATCAATTCTGCCATAAAAAAAAACAAAAAACAATCAATAATGAAAGACCTGCATTGAGTACCAAACTCTTTAAAAAAAGACTGCATAATTGTTTCTTACCTCTCTTGACTTTGCTGTCAATAAGCAACTTGGTATCATCTTCTTTAACTATTCCTGCGTCCATCCATGCTGCCGTTGTAATTGCAGCTGTTTCCCGTAAGTCTGTACCATACCGAATGCTTGCTAACGCTATGTTGGAAATACTTTCATAATTCCTTTGTCCTCGTAAACATTTCTGATCTTCATTCTGTCGACACATAGATTGAGTTCAGTATTGCTGTTTGTTGTGAAACATTCATTACTAAATAGTTCATCTGTTTCGCTAAATTCAAATTCAAACTTTTCTTCCTGACTTCTAATTGTTGGTTGCAGTTCTTCAGATACTTTTTGCTTTAGCTATGGATAAAGTAATTGAATTTTCATTAAATGATGTTTTTTAAAATATTGTAAGTACATTTCCTAATATAAGTAAAATATAAATAGTTATATGTGAAAATTTCATTTTTAGTTTAATTAGATTTTGTTATTTTTAAGTTGAAACAGGCAGATGTATTTGTAATATAACTAAAATTAATTTAACTTTTGAGTTTAATTAATTTTTCTTTATCAACTAATTACTTATTAAAAACATATCTAACTAAAAAAATCTTACTTTTTCCTTCAATCTTCTTTTAGCAATTTTATGTAGCTTTTTGTTTTTTTTCAGTCAGATAATCCAATTTGATGCGGACCGGTAGTCCCTATTTTAGCTCTTTGCCGAAGTATAAAAACTAACTCTTTCTTTGGAATCTTTTTTTTCTTTTCACACGTACAGTTAATATGGGCTTCATTGTTACATTCTGAAAAACAATTTTTCTCTTGACAAATAATAATTTGGCAATTACAATTCAGTATATCAAACAATTTTTCAAGTTTTGCCAAAAATCTTTATTCTTTAAGCTTGTTTTTCCCCTAGCAACCAGGTTGGCTGCATTGCATTTATTCACCAATGTTGCAGTAATATAATGTTCAATATGTGTTACAGGATATGCAAATAAAGCATTGGCGTGGATCCATTTACCAATCAACGTTGAGTAAACATCGTTCATTAGTGATTTTATCGGATAACTTCTTTTATTTCTATTGCTTCTTTTTTGCAAAAACAGACCATATCTAAGAAGATCTCTTAGCGTTGATAAGTAAATTTTTATCATTGTTTTATGACCAAGCATGCTAAACTTTATTAAATAATGCAAGCATTGAAATTTTCAATGTCTTACTTTAAGCCCAAGAATAACTAGAATAAGACCTGCAGCGTAAGACTGAAGTTAAAGAATTAGTCAAAAACAAATGTTTCGATTAAAAAAACGCTTTTATTTTTAACTATTTTTTAACTATGTAATCCCGGAATCTAGTGGTATAGTCCCGGAATCTAGTGATTGAACAATCCTGCAAAATAATTTTTGTACAGGAAAAATGTTCATGGGTTTAAATCATAACCATTGTGTTTTAAAACGGAAGATTTGTCAACAAGGTCTGCGAGATACGTATTAAATATGTAAAAAAATAAAACAACAACAACAAAAAATAATGAACAATAATAAAATACAAACATTAAAAATACTACATTATAAAAGTAATTTTGTATTACTATACATGTATAAGATTTATACAAGATACTCACTGATATTATACACTTTTTTGTTGCGCTAATAAATGCATATTTTTTCGAACTCTTACATAAATGTATATTTAATATAAAATTTAAAACAATTTAGATACGCCAATCACAAAGAAAGATTTTACTCTATCTAATGACGTTGCTTCCAATTTTCTGAATAAACGAGACAATACCTGGTTCCGACACCAATATCCGGATGTTTATCCAACTGATATAAATGTCCACGACGAATGTTGTTATAACAAAGGGTGCGTCGTTGACGAAATTATGGAATACTGTAATTAATGTCACGGTGACAGTAAGGACCTATTTTGAAGATGATGTAGATGTTGTAATATAGTCAGTTGTAATACTTCTTATATAAATGAATCTAATAAACTTTTGTGAATCTTTTATTATAAATAAAAGATAGTGAAAGAGTTAAAAGCTAAAGAAAGTTTGCTAATTTTGGTGATACCCATCAGGTGTGCTGTGTCTTTATTATTTTTGGATTATTATTTTTAACTATTTGTATTATTATTTTTGGAATTTTATGCTGTTAATGATATTAAAAGCATAAAATTCCAAAAATAATAATACAAATGGTTCAAATTCGAAGAATAACGATAACAATAAAAAAATAGCAATAAATAAAAGTTAGTTATATAAATATAAAATTCCCTTATATTAATCGTACAAAAAATATGAATTCATTTTAATAAACATTGAAAACAACCCGAACAATAATTTTAATTAAAGTTGCAGCTTTTGTACCTTTTTTTTTTTTGATTTTTGATTTTTGTTGTTTGTTTCAATTTTAGAGGCGCTCCAACAGTTTATTCTAAACTTTTTTTTTGGTATACGAACAATAAAATTTTGACAAGTTAGGTTGGTAAAAATGTTTAAATAAAAAGACCTTAGGTTTTCATAATAATCATACTGATGATATATATACACTCATATTGTGTTACATTATAATAAAACTATCTCTATTGAAAGTGAAAAAAGATCCTTGTAGATCTAAACTACCAACTGCCTGTCAGGTGATTGTATGTTTTCTTGCGCACATCTCTACGAAAAATAAGAAAGATGCTGCAAATGAAACGGTTAATTCAGTTTTACTATTTTATAACGGAGAAAAAAAAGATAAACAGTTTCTGATCAGCATGATAATTGATAGGAAAACATACATGGGTTCAGTTGACCGTACACAAAGCCTTCAGTAAAAAGTGTCGGTAGAAAATTTTTTAAACAAGAAAGAACCCATAGAGAAAAAGAACGTCATATATCAATATGATATATGTTTAAAACACCTTAAAGGAGACAGAAGAAGTTTGTCTTGGTCATCGAGCAAATGAATCTGGATCTAGTTATGAAAAGTTTGAAAACTGGCACTTCTGTATTTATGCCAAATGTTATTCTGAAATCATTGAAAGCTATTAAAACTGCTGTTAAAAACAAGGTGATGTAACCTATATTATTGTACAGTGATTTTATTCACTCAGTAATTTAAGCTAAGTCTAGTGGTTCTTTTAGAATCAACTTTAGCTAATGTTTCGGAGTTTTAATCAATTTATTTTAATTTCTGTTTGAAATGATATAAAAGTTTAATTGGAATAATCATATTTGTTAATCATTCAATACGCTTGCGTTACTCTTGCATTTATAATTGAAAATCATTTAAAAACAAAATAGAATATGTGCTACCAAGATAAAAACCCCGGTAAACCTCCAAATATTGATATAGTTCATTAGGATATCAAGTTAATGGATTCACTTAACAAAATGTAAGAGAAGTAAAGTCTCCGATTTGTCTTTCAGGTAGATAAAAAGTTTAACTTGGGCAAGCTCTAACTTGTTGTGGTATTAGAAATTACGAATGAAAAATTAACATATTTATCTACGAATTTAATTAAAGTTGGTTTTCAAAAAGTAATTTATTAACATGTTTGGATGTAAAATTACTTTTATATATATATATGTTTCGATGTAAAATTACTACGCTGCTGTACAAATTAACCGAAAAGATGGAACTAATGATTACTGAGACGGCTGAAGAGCTACAGGAGGATTGGAATTAGGTTGATTATGTGGGAGGCATAATTTTTGAAACAACAGCATCAAACTATATAACTGCAGAGTGTGTTTCAGTGCAAAAAATTTTAAAGAAAAAGAAAAATATATTGACTTTTCTTTAACTATGCTTACCGACATTAAATAAGAGAGATTATACTATCTCACGCATGGAACAGTTTAAAATTTAGAGGTTTAAAAAGGTACTGATATCAATCTAATTGTAAGCCAAAAAAAACTGTTATTTATTGCTATACAATTTATGCAAGTTTAGTCAAGTATTTTGATAACTAAATTAGTATTAAAAATTAAAAAAAAATGTTAGATTATTTGGTTTTCAGATTTAAAAAAAATTAAAACTTAAGAAAGTAGCCATCATCAATCTTTGTCAAAAACCAATGAGTCGCAGTTTCAATAAAAACCAATGAGTCGCAGTTTCAATAAAAACCAATGAGTCGCAGTTTCAATAAAAACCAATGAGTCGCAGTTTCAATAAAAACCAATGAGTCGCAGTTTCAATAAAAACCAATGAGTCGCAGTTTCAATAAAAGGGATTATAAATAACTTGTTCAATTAACATGACAATATCTAGGACATGAATAAAAATTAGTGTTCTCTGGATTTACTCGACCAAGAGCCTTGCAAAATACTAGAAGGATGCCTAAATAAAACTTATACTGTTAATTTTGTTGTTGTTTATGCTCTATAAACTCTGTACTGGGACAATCCAGCTCCCCAAATGAACAGTTTTTGCTGGATAACAACTACCTAAAACACAAAAGGATTATTTTGCTTGTTGTATTTTATTACATTCCATAGTGGCTTAGTGTTTTTATATCTTCAGCAGCATCTACTAATAATTTGAATCTTATCAACTCGTTATTTAATTATAAAACTTCTAATTTATGCTGTTCTAAAAGCTTTCAGCAACCACATACCTTAACTAAGAACCTCATTTTTTCTTGAATAACAGAGTCAAAAGTTTGCCGTTAAAATAATATTGCTAAAATAGACAGCAAAAGAAATAAAATTAAAAAGATTTGGATTTGGTAAAACAATAATATTTCTTCCTGTTATCGCTATGAATGATTAGACTATTTTTATTGCTGAAGACTCCTTAACGTTTCTAATCAACCGAGCAAACATATTTTTAGTGGATTTGCAGTGGACCTGTAAAGGTATTTTTTAGTGGTTCATTAGAGTTTTGCTCATCGGTTACTTGGTGGACCAGCTGATTACTTTCTGACATGTTATTAGTGGCTAGTAATCGGCTAGCCACTTTTAGTGGCTGCCATTAACGGTCCACTAAGTAACTGATAAGCAAAAGTTAAGTGGCCCGCTCAAAATGTCTATATAGGTCCACTGAAATCCCGCTATAAAATGTTTCCTGGGATATTAAAAAATAAGTTTTTTTTAGTAAATCTCTAACAGAATAGTAAAAAAACTTCAAAAGTATGATTTTTATTATGTGTTGTTAAATAATTAATTAATGTATATTAATTTAATTAAAATTATTCTTAAATTATTAACTTATATTACATTGTTAACTTACATTCTTAACTTATATTATGTGTTGTTGTTGTTTTTAACATAAAAACGTTAAAAATTGTTAAATTAAATACGTTAAATGCAGACAAATCTTTTGAGAGTGAAGTACAGTTTTTCTAGAAAATTGTGTAAGTTGAAAAACAATAGAACTCGGTTACCAAACCAAAGAAAAAGACATTCAAAATCAACAAGAGAGTAAATCTAATTTTGTACAGTAATACTGTACATTTAAATGGTAGCAAAGCATCAACTTTTTGTTGTTAATATTTTCAGAGGTTTTTTAACTTTATACTTTAAATGTTAAATATTTTGAGTAATATAAATTATGTTACTTTTTATGGCATTATTATATTATAATAATGCAAAAAAACAAAGGCAATATAATAATGTACTATGAAAATAAAAAAACGCTTGATTGATTTTATTTTTACCCGCTCTATTTTTTCTTGTTTAAAGTACGTTTCAAAAGGATGTTTTATTTTCGCGCTAAACGCACGTGTCTACGCGGGATTAACCAACAATTAAAAAAAAAAGCCACATCAAACGATTTCTACGCAACAAAAATTCAATCAGCTTGAATTACAGTTGGTACATACTAGGGGTGAGCAAAACCGGATATTCGGTCCGGTTTTTAAAATTAAATTTTTAAAAACCGGGTCGGATATCCAGTTTGGTAAAATCTGTAGTTATAACTTTAAACTATGGGTTAGAAAAAACGGATATCCGGAATAGACTAATTAAAATACACCTAGTTAAAACTTCCAAATTCGAAGTTTTAACAAGGGGTAAGCAAAACTATACTATATCGCATCCGGTTCGTTAAAATTCCAATCTGATTTCAGCAAATCAGAGACCCGGTTTTGCTCATCCCCATGTACCATTTTTATTTTGTAGACATAAATATCTATTTAGAACGTGGTTTGAATCGGCTTATGCATAGCGTAAAAAAATCAGTGTTTTTTAACATATAATTATTTAAACTTAATTTTCGTACGTATAGTTATTGTTAAAATGCATAAAACCAATAAAAAATGGTTGAAAAGATTTTCTAGTGCTACCTAAATAGAAAATGAAAAATTGTTTATTTTTCTTAAAACAAAGAGCTCAAAGAAAACCAAGTATTTTTTATATCGACTTCATCTTATTTTTTAGATAATTTTAAAAGTAGTGAGCAGCCGTTGCGCAGTGGTTTAAGCACTTGGTTTTGATTCAAGAAATCCGTGTCTAAAGCGAGTATGTAAAGGCATGGACTTCCTAATTCTTCCGCAGTGCTCTGTGACCGTTAGGTCTTCTTGGGTCACCTTAAACAAAAATTAAAAATAAATTAAATATTTTCTTAATTTATTTAGCTTTTAATTAATAATATTTGTAAGTATGATAAAGGATTCGTCTATAAAGTATGTTCGCCAAAAATTTAGAAATTTGAACCCCCCCCCCCCTCCCTTGTTATCATACATACTTGTAAGTCCTGCCTCCTTACTATCCTTAAAAAGTACGTACGTTTTTTAAAATACCCACCCTCATTTTTTAATAATTAATTAAGTTTTAATTTAGAAAAAATTGTATAAATTAAGAAATATTTTTTAAATTAATGTGTGCTTTTTTTTAAAGTTGATCACATTTATTGAATTATTTTTCCGGATCCCTACTCCCCCTAATCTCCCAAAGATAAATTATACGACCCAAAAGATCTTGCTTTTGAGACCAGCTCCCAACTTAAAAGACACATGTTAAAATATCTATTTTAATAAAATTTCTCTACACGCATAATTGTATGTGTGTAGGGCCGAGAGGTTGATGCGAACGAACTTATGTTGGAGGCTTGAGATCGAATCGCAGACAAGTTGTAATTACTTTTTATTTTTAAAAGTCATAATATACTTTTTATTTTTGAAAATTTTTTAATGACGAATCAAATAGAAATAAACTTTACTTTGGGTGGACGTTTCTATCAGATACCCCTCTTTAGTAAGTCCGTAAAAAATGAGTCTTATGCTAAAACCTGAAACCCAAAACCGGGGCTGCCCCACACCGCTCAAATGGGTAGGGGGAACTAACAAATAAAGTCTTTTTTGCATTTAAGGAAAATTTTTTTAGCAATACCTTAAGGAAAAGTTTGTCAAGATTTTGTGTTCCTCATAACAGGTATTTTGGCTTTTATGTTGGCAGACTAAGACCTTTAGTCAGAAAAATTAATTTTTCTATTGGTTAGCTGGCAAATTATGAACAACGATGATACGGTATGGTTTTTTTTTTTTTTTTTTTTTTTTTAAGTTTTAAGTTATTTAAAAATTTTTGTTATATTCAAGTACTTATTAATTGTTATAAATTAGAAAAAAAAACATTACTAAGAAATTTTTTTTAATTTGTGCGTACATACTTTTTAATTAAAGTACCCCCCACCCTCCCATACGTTTTTGTACATTATTTGAAGACCCATCGCCTCCCCCTCCTCCCTATAAGCGTACGTACTATATGGACAACCTCTAAGTGGATTTTTATTCAATATAAATTTAGTTTAAAATTAAAAAAAAGACAGAGTTTGATATAGTCAAGGTTTTGTAAAATACCCCAGTGCAAAATCAAACAAAAATTCATAAGCAAAATTGACGGTTTGTGTGCTCAAGGAGTTGTAATAGTGTAGCTGGAGGGAGAACAAAGATAAAATACGTCATTTCTTAAAGAACAGTCTAAGTAGTAACATAATTTTCAATTAAACACCGCGGATTTTTATCATAGTTTAAAGTTAACCATTACACTTTTAACAAAAGCTATTCAATGATTTTGTTTCAAAACGTCATAAGCAATTAAAGCATTACAAATAAAAAAATGGAAGTTTAAAAAATTATTAAACAATATTTAAAGTCAGTTTATTGTTATTTTTTTGTTGTGCTTTTTGAGAATTGAGTTAATAAATGTCTAGATAAGAATTGCTAGTATTTTTGCCATGTATGTTATATCTCTTTATATTATTGCCATGTATTTTATAATTAAGATAATTTTATATTAATAAAGATAGTTTTATATTAATAAATGTATTTTATATTAAGATAATTTTATATTAATAAAGCAATTTACTTTTAAATCCAGCAAAAATATTCCAACACAAAATAAAATCCTGGCGGGATTTAAGAAGTTCCTGGTCGAAAGAACAAACTTAAAGAACATGACTAGCCTATAGCTGAACAGGCAAGCAAAAAAAAAGGTTCAAATAGGTAATAGAGATAGTCTAAAACTTTGATATTTATACTTATAATTGAGGTACGCAAGAAATAATTAATTCACCTTAATCGTTATTTTTGTTTTAATTAACTTCTTGATAGATGGAATAGCTGTTAAAAACATATCCAACAAATTTTTATTTTATCCACTTCGACTACAACTCTCAAAGCTTACTGATTACATTTCAAAAATTTTCAATTTTTTACAAAAGCGCCAATTTGATATGCTACTGGAATAATTATACTTCAAAGACTGTAACGCGATTTAAATCCATTTTCTGCTTCGTTTTCCCCCCAGCTAAGCTATTATACCTCAGCCTTGTTTTCCAAGCAGATCGAATATGTTAAAAATTTGTACAACGCCAAGATCAGTATCAGTGATTCTCTGGTACCGCAACCCAGCTAGCACACATACGTTGATAAAACGTTAGAACAATGTTACGCGTTACGTTAGCCCAACATCGACCTTCAACGTTGTTTTTATATAATTTTGGTTACAAATGCGCCAACAACCAAAAAACAACGTTGGTCTAACGTTTTATTATAAGTTGGCATTGAGTAATATTTAAAGTTGAATCAACATTGTATTTTAGGTTTATTCAGCGGTATATTTTACGTTTGAACAACGTCTATATTTTAGTTGTATATAGAAACATTACATATTATATATTTGTACGAGTATTTAACTGCATATGCACTTATAATTATATATTTCATCCATTTTGATGAATTTACATTGATGATAACGTTTGTTTACTCTTTTTATCAATAACGTTTATGCTTCAAAAACTATGCATCTGTATAAAGATACATTATTCACATGGCCGCCGAAAGGGGGGCAAAGGGGGCATACGTGCCCCGGGGCGCCAAGATAAAAGGGGCGCCAAAAATTGATTAAATTTTTTTTTTTTAAATGTCTAAACAATGTCTAACTTTTAATTTCAATGTTTTGTAATTTAATATAATATTTTTATAGCATAATTTCATTAAATAAATTAAAAGTTTAATTAATTTACAATGGCGGCTTTCATGTTTACGGATTATTATGTTTAGTGCAGTGAGTTTTCCTTTAGAAATATTTTTGTATTGACGCATAATATGAAAGTGACGACGTATTACATTTTGGCATATAATTTCACGAAAATATTAAAGTGCATATTTCAATGTCACTCTATGCATTTGCATCTCAAATGGCAAATCTGCTTATTTAAAGGTGAAAAGTGAAAAGAAAAAAGAAAAAAAAAAGGATAAATTAAAAAATTATTTTAAAGATATAAAAATTAAAAAAAATAAAAGTAAAACAAGATTAAAATATATAAATAAGTAAATGCTAAATCAAGCTAAATCTTTGATAAATTTTTATAGATCTTTTGAGACTGTTGTGCTTCTGACCTTTTGATATAAAGTTCTTTAAGTAGTAGATTAAGTACGTCGTTTGTTCCAGGCAACCTCAATAATAATAGATGACAAAGTTATTCTAATTCAACAGCAAATAAGCAATCTTGGCCGCATCCACTCATCATGGAATAATATTTGACTGATGCGAAAGCTGTTGCAGATCCTCTAGGCTTTGAAACGGAATTTTTGACAAAACGAAAGAAGAGAGTGAAACGGTATCACAATGAACTTAAAAATCAGAGCCCCGAGCATCAATTTGAGGGAAACATCTTTAACGTCGCTCTTGGTCATTTTATTCATCAAGTTCAGTCAAGATATGACATAATAAAGAGAGTTTCTTCAAGGTTCTCATTCATCTGGGTGAAAGACCAGGAACCAGATTCTCAAGAGATCAAAGCTCGTGAATTAGCACAGTTCTAAGCTAATGATGTCAAAGAAGACGACTTCAAAGAAGAAATTTTACATCTTAATTGTTTGAAGGTGTCTTTGTTTTTTATTCCTAGAAACTCATTGAACCTTCTTAACCAAATACATTCAAAGAGTCTGCAGCCTATTTTTCCATATGTATGCATCTTAATTTGAATTTTTAATACAATGCCAGTATCTGTTGCAGAGGGTGAACGTTCCTTTAGTAAACTAAAATTGATAAAGAATTATTGTAGGGCCGCTATGAGACAAGAATGTCTTTCGGATCTCATGATGTTTTCAATGAAAAATGAGTTGGCTAGGTCTCTTTCATATGATGATACAATAATAAATTTTGCCGGTAAAAAAGCAAGAAAAGAGTTTTTTATGTAGACAATTTTTTGTTATTTTAATTTCTAAAGAATGTCTAATAATGCAATTTATGTTGTATTGGCGTTGCTTAGTTGTATTTTTTATAGACGCATTTTTTTGAAAGTTTTGCCGTAAAATGATTTTAACAGAAATAAACCGCAGTTAAGAAAATTCATTTTAAAACCGTGTAAAACCATATATATGCATGAATGAGTTCGATAATTTTTTTTTAAATATGTATTCTTAAAGGGGCGCCTTTAAGCAAACATGAAAAGAAAGTTGAGGAAGAGCCCATGTCAAGTGAATTCTCCAAGTCTTTGTCGGTTCGACTAACAGCACTATTGCACCTTCTAACATTGTGTAATTTTTTCCACTTTCTCTATGCTATCTTTTTAACACGACTATACTATCTATACTACTTCTCTATTCTATCTTTTTAACACGTTCTTCCCAAACCCACCTTACTCTTAGTCCGAAAGCGGGTTATGACGCTTACTCTTAGTCTGTAGAACAGGTTATGACGCATACTCTTAATCCGTAGAGCGGGTTATGAAACAAGTCTCTTCGGACCGAGGTAATGCAGCCTCTACAGGGCAATTATTAGTTATAAGGCAAAAGTTTGCTGGCGCAGGATAAACCACAATACCTTAAAGGAGCGCTTAATCAACGCTTCGGACGTCGCAAAGCTATCGGCGGCCCTGATTATTCATTTTTTTTTGGTTATAGGTCGATATTTTTTTATATAAGAAAGAGAAAAATTTATTACCAAAATATATTTCCGCAATTAACTAAAATATTGCGATGAAAAGCAATACAAATATTTATTTCTATATCTGATTTTTCTTGATGCAAACACAACGTTGAACCACTGTATATAATCTAACTCTATTCTAATGTATATAGAGCAACGTTGATCAATAAATCTATGTGGGGTTTTACACATTTAGTTAACGTTGATCCATATAGATTGGATCAACATTGGATCAATGTTGGGTTTAGATCAGAAAAACAACCAACTTTTGCGATTTTTTTTGCATACGTTGGACCAATGTTATTTTCCTAACTATTTTTAATCACGTCGTTATTAAAGTTTTTATTAATATAAATATAATAAAACTAGCATTGGATCAACGTTGTATTTACATTGGAAAAAACAGCCGACGTTTGCGATATATTTACATATGTTGGCCCAGCGTAAGTGTGCAAGTTGCATTGGAGTAAAGGACGCATCAGAAGAACTCAGAATCTTTGGGAGTCTAGCACATCAAATAAACGATTTGTTAACGTGGTATCAGAACAAACCTTAAAAGCTGTTTACGCAAACATTAATAATGTTTGGTTAATTGAAAAATTTGTACATAAGTAAACTATAGTAATTTATTCATAAATGTTTTATTTTTTCTATTATTTTTGTTTATAATAGAGATATGAATTTTATTTTTTTTCTTATCCGTGGCAAATTAAGACTATTTGAGGCCCAGAGCTATTTTAAATCAGGAAGTCTCTTTTTATGCCATTAATCAAAGAATTTATTTTCAAAGTTTCTATAGCCCCGAGCCCTGCTTAATTAAGCATTGTTACTTATATATAGTTATATATTACTTATATTATGGATTTTTGACGTAATATGAACAAATATAAACTAAAATGTCTCTATTAACAACAGATTAACTTTCTTACCTTAAAAAACCGAGTTCAAATTAGTTTATGACAATAATCTTAGTAAGCTCTTTAACTATGTTAATAGTAAACTAAATAATTATAAAAGGAACTACCTTATAAAGGACGAAAACAACAATTTCAGGTTAACTTCTACCAAAAGAAACTGCTGACGTTTTTAAAAGATACTTTAGAATTTATATATTTACGAAGATAACAACTAATCGCCAAATATTAATAGTTTTCTTAACGACTCTATAAACATTGAACGTTAGCTTTTCTGTTGAGACGGCTTGTTCGGCTTTAATCGATCTTAAACCCAGTATTATCTTATAGTCTTGACAAAATGCTAAACATTCTTTTAAAAAATGTAGCTCTTGCATTATGTATTGCACTTGCATTTATATTTCATGCAAGTTATATACTCTGCCACAAAAAAAAACTTTAAGCTTCTATCTTCTGGATATGGAGATAAAAGCTTTTTTTATTAGTAAGAAATGCGATGGATTATCGCATTTCTTATTAATAACTGTTAACAAGGTAGCTTGTTAGGTCCAACATTACTCTTACTATATATAAACAACTTAGTTGCTACAGCTAACAATCTTGATTGCTCTTAAAAGCTTTTTGCCAATGAGATCAAGCTATATATATTGACTATAACTTTGAAATAATACTTTAGCTTGGTCTTCTAATTCCAAGGATAAAACTATAAAATACAAGTTTTTAATGTAACCCCTAGTTTGTTTTCCATATCATGATGAACTAATAAAGGGTGTTGAAAACGTGTAAACACGTTTCAGAAAAAAAATCCTGCACTAAGGCAATTTAAACTACTATAACTGAACTCAGTTGCTTGATTTGGTGTCGCTTGATTTAAGGCAATTAAAACATTATTCATCAACTTACTTCAAAATCTGCATAACTTGGTCTTAATTGATAAATCTATGTTCTATTCTATTGACAACAAAAACACAACGCAAGGACATAAATATAAAAAGCGCAAACAGTCGACTAGATATTCGTAAAAATAATTTCTCTTACGGAACTGTTAACATTTTGAATCAGTTGCCTTTCGATGTTGTTAATGCCGATAATATCAACATCTTTTAGACTAAAATTAGTTCACTTATAAAAAACAATAAAATAAAATAAACAATAAAATATGCAGCATTGATTGCATATTTTATTGTTTATGGCACGCTGTTAGTATCCAGCAATATAAACCTCCGTATCCTTTAAAATATGTATTATTTGTTCTAACAAGTACAATTTTATCTGATACATACAGCACAAATTATTTACTTACAAAATTAATTCGCTAATGCTAAACCTTTTCTTAGAAGCATACCATTCTTGATATTTAGAAGCATAAAACTCTTGATATTTATTAAATAAATATTATCAAAATCATTCAATTTTTGTATCAATTTTTTACAAGCCTCGACATCAGGTATAAATTTTAACCTTAGGTAGAAAAAAATTTCAATGTTTTGGAAAATAATTTTATTTTAAAGTATTGAACCGATGCAATACTGATCTACATTGATGCAATACTGATCGCAATTTAAAAATTACAAAATTCTCCATTTTTCATCCAACAAAAAAAAGTACTCGATTTTTTCTATTAATAAACTTTATTATAGGTATGGCTCTAATTTTATTATTGGTTGGGGTTATCCTATTTTGCCCACCTTGCAATTCTGTGAAGAAAAATTCTACGTACCTTCACCTTCAACCTCAACCCCCAATCGGGCAGCACTATGGATAAAGCTAGCTAAATATTAAAATTGGAGTTGCTCCTAAATTAATTTATTGGAGATTTCCTTTAATAGCAATAAACTTTCAACTCCTGTAACTTTATTATTTTAACTTCTATAACTTTGTTGGTGTTACAGATAGCTTAAAAAGATTTTCTAGCAGATTAATCTTACAGTTTAAAAATTTTAATGATAATATATGCATATTTGTGAATAATTTATAAATATTTAAAATTCATAATATAAATAAACTTTTTTAAATGTATTTTATTCTGAAAAATTTTAATAAAAAAAAAAACATCAAAAGTACAGCAATTTTTTGAGCAAAAAGCAGTTCACTTAACATTATTCAATACCACGAGGAAAAATTCTTTTCCTAAATGTGTAATCAAAATCATGTTAATTGAAGCATTAAATAATTTTTTTTTGTCAAGAATTGAAAGTTATACAATGAATGCTGAATGATCACCTTTGTTAGGTCTTTATTAGTAGTTGTCATGTCAGCAAGGCGATAACCATTCAAAAGGTATATAATAGGGTTCAGTATATTTTGAAGATATATTTATACGTGTTAATGAAATAAAATACGAAACAGATAAATATTTTCAAGAAGCATTTGTAAGAACCGGCATAGATGAGGACAAAGGTCAATTAAAATTGTTATAGAAATTTTTAATTAAGGAATACTTAAGGATCAACTAAAGAAAAAAAGTCTTTGATATAAATAAAGTTGTAATGCTTGATATAATCTAACATATTGAAAAAAACTAGTAATTTAGCCTAGTTTATCCACTTTCTCAAACTGCATTAACCAAAATACTTTGCAGCTCCAGATTTTAAAGTGATCAAAAAAATGCTAGAATTATCTACTCATAATGAAAAGCAATACAAACAAAATGGTTACTAGAAAGTGGTTGCATTGTTAAAAATTACAAAAAAAAATTATTGAGGTTGAAACCGTGTTCATTTATCATCGCTTTTTAAAGACAAGCAGCTGCCATCAAAATTTTGTGTCAAAAACATTGAAAAACAGAAATCAGATATAGAAAAACTCTTTCCAGAAAAAACTGAAAAAATAAATAAATAAATAAAAGAACATTGTGTTTTCTTTATTGTAAACAAAGATTTATAAGGCTTTTCAACAATTCCATAATAGTTTTGTTAGCATTTAATTATAGAATTTGTTTTTTGTCTTACAATTGTGGATTTAGCATAAGGAGTAGAGACAAGCTGCCCCACCGCACCCTTTAAGTCAGTCTAATGGCGCCTTCTAAAATGTAACTTTCTCGTTTACTAAATTTTGCGTTTATTTTAAAAACAAATTGGAAACTAGACAACAACAAACCATTGTTTATATACCTACTTTACAAATTGGCCTTTTTTTTTAAATTTCTAGATATGGAGGACTTTTTTTAAAAATCGAAAATTGCACCTTTCCACTTTGAAACCCGTGTCATCGGCCCTGAGTACTATGTGTAAGTTGTGATGGCAATTACAAAAGCTATTCTCATGTTGAAAATACTCATCCTGGTATAACGTTTTACCAAGATAAGTTTTTATAACATAAGAATAGATTTTATAACCGTATAGTAGATTACATATCTAGTTTATTACTCCATTATAGTTTATTACCCGATATCAAGTTTATTACCCTATAATAGTTTAAATATCTAGTTTATTTTGCAAAATTGAAATGCTAAATGTTTTTCGTTCACCAATCACTTCCATGCCAGGAGCATAACCACAATAATTTAATTTACACACGTAATTATTTCCATTTGTTCAGTTTCAAGTTTAGTCTACATGCTTTGAATGTAGAGGAGAACTCGCTTAATTAGAACACTTAAGAAATAAGTATTATCCAAAGATGGCTTAACTATGGATAAATTTTAAATAAAACAAACAGTCTTACTATACTTTTAACCTTAATTTGAGCAAATTGATCGCACTGTTATTGAAAATAAATTTGTATTTGCAAAGTCATCATTGCAACTGGTTCCCTAAATTGGAACATTTTGATTTCTTAATAAGAAAAAGTTGTTTCTTTTAAAAAAAAACTTAGTAAAATTAAGAAAAAACTGTTTAAAAATTTGTACTTTCACAGTGAAAACTTAAACAGTTCATTTAAAACTTATAATAGGATTAATATTACCCTCACAAGTTGAAATTCTTCAAGCAAAAATTTTATAAAAGCTTTCACTGTAATGACGTTCTCTTAATTTATTAATTAAAAATCCTAAATAAAGTATTATTCTTAAGGTTTATGGTTGTTACTAAGTATTTTTAAATTGCGCCTGAACGATTTCTACAAATCTTTGATTTTATTACTGATTAAGTATGGAAAACTTTATAGTTCCAATCAAGGAAACATTGGGCTTTTTAAGGAACAACTTTCAAAATGTGTCAAAACTTAGAAAATAAGACGTTTTACTAGAAAAATGCAAAATATAGCCATAATTCATTTTTTTTCAATAATAAATGCAAGTGTTCCAATTAAGGTGCTATTCCAATTATGGCAACTATCTCCTAGTCTAAACATTATTATAAACAATTTTATTACAAGTGATTGGTTTGCAATCAAGAAATTCACATAAGACCACTTTATTTTTGCTGTAACAATTTTTGGGCTCTTTTCTCTAAATCTTCTTGAGTATTTTTTATTAATCTTTTATGATTATTTTTTTATTAATCTTTAGTACTTTCTTTTAGACTCCATGATTTAATGACCCCATCGTTTCAAAAGTTTGTAAAAAGTTTTTTTTTTTTTTTCAATTAACATTTAATATTTACAGAGCCTATTCAATAAAACTTTTGTGTCAAAAATCGACAACATTTTTTTGATATTATAAAAAGAGGGATCTTATACCTATCTTATGCATATCTTAATGGAAATGATATTTTATATATTAGCAAACCTTTTTTAAATTCTTTTTCAGCAATTTTTCTTTAATTTCAACAAGTGTAAAATATGGCCCAACAGTTTTTTTAGAAAAAAAAAATTGCTTAAGTAAACAAGTTTCTCCTCTTAAGGATTTTTATAGCAATATTTTGCTATATGTAGGCAATTGTCATTATAAACTATGATTGCTTCGCTAAGAGATTTGTTCTTTTTATTAAAACATTCTCACAGTCAATAAGTCAATATTATTTATGCAATTATTCAAAATCCGTTACAATGATAAATATATAAATTTTATTGATAAGAAAGTTTTCAAACGTTATAGAAAGCCAACCAATCAAAGAAATTTGGTGCATTTCGAAAGGTTAAAAAAATAAAAAATCGTTGAAAATAAAGCTATAAACTTTAAAAAAAACTGATCTTGAAGTTAAGAGTGGATCAGCCCATCTCCACTTTTTAAATTATATTCGTAGACTGGGATTAACTAAACAAAAATACATATATCACTTAATAACTACAAAGTTATAAGTTTATTACTTTATCTGCTGATTTCTGACCATTACACTAGGCAATTGTAACTATGTATTACTTCAGTATAAAATAGTTATTTTAATTGCATCATAAATTATTATAAAAAAATTAGCATAAAAAAGTTTAGTTATATCTATTATTGTTTATAAGACAAAATTATTTACATGTTTGTGTACATCTTAAAAATATATTAAATATCATTTATATCTACAATCTATATAAAAGTATACACTGAACACATCACATAAAACGTACATAAAAACAAATATATAAGTTTACATAAAAGCATCACATTATAAACATTACTTTGTAAGGTCATGTTGAAGGAGAAAAAGCGTTTGAGTAAACAAGCATTTTGATAATTATTGGTAAAGTTTTTATAGTCTAAAAAATACAAATATATCTTAAAATAGTAACACAAATAATAATTATGCTTGTGTGGGTCAACATTTGTCAAACATCCAAATTCCCACCATATAAAATTACGTCAATATTTGATTATCCCCATCCCACCTAAATATAATTAGAGTGGAAAAAAAAACGTTTTTTTCTTTTTTTAAGTTATTAAATTTATATTAAAAAACATTGTTAACTTCAACTTTTCTTGACCCCTCCTTTATTAACAATTGTCAAAGATTTAAAACCCTCTTTCCCCCTATTTTGTTAACATAATTAATGGACAACCCCTAAGCGTGGATAGTATACATCAGCGCGGGTAGTATAATTAGTAGAAGAATTATTAGAATGACTTAATAATTTAAATATTCTTAAATATAATGCAACTAATGCAACAAGTTTTTTTAATTGAAAAACTTGAAAACTTTAAAAGTTTTAAATTATTCAAAAAAATGGATGAGGGGGGGGGGGGGGGAGATAGTTGTTGTTACATAACCCCCCCCCCCCCCATCTCCTACCAGAATTTTTATTTTTTTTATTTTTAACTTTAGAGGCCTTTTACAAATTTAAGGAGCTTTTATTAATTTTTTTTTTTTTAGTTTTGTCACCCCCTCCTTCCTACCCGAAAGTTCTGGAACCGTCACTGACCTTTACACTTTTTATCGCAACAATTGATTATTAAATACGTGTATTCGACATAAATAAAAATACGTATATTTCGACACAAATAAGGATTTCTTTTAGCCAAGTAAAAAACTGTATGGTAAAATATACAAAGATCAAACGACATTTGTAAGTTAATATAATTTTAAAACTAATGAATAAATAAAGGATCTTGTATCTTTTGCTTTTTGTTGAATATAAAAAATTTGATTGAAAAAATTGTTGATAACTTAGCACGTGTTAAGGCGACTTACCTTGAAGAATATGCCGAAAATATCGCAACAATTTATAAATTAAAGCGTATATTTCGGTTACACACAAATGAGGATTTCTTTTAACAAGTAAAAAAGTATATTGTACAAATATACAGAGTTCAATTGATATTTGTAAGTTATTAAAATTTTAAAACTTAAAGATTAAAAATGAATATTAACTAAACTGCATTATTTAATAAAACGAAAATTAAAAGTGCAACCATATTTGGTTTTACGTCAACGTTAAAATAACGTTTTTAGCTCTAAACTACAAATTCTTAATGTAAATTCTTTTCTGAACTTCTTCTATTTATATTTAGATAATAAAGATGACATATGTGGTTAAACACACAGATTATTTTTATTATGTTGTAATACAAAAGTCGTGCATGTTTAAAATGTCAAACTACTTATATACATATATATATATATATATATATATATATATATATATTATATATATATAATATATATATATATATATATATATATATATATATATATATATATATATATATATATATATATATATATATATATATATATATATACATATATATATATATATATATATATATATATATATATATATATATATATATACTATATATATATATATATATATATATATATAATATATATATATATATATATATATATATATATATATATATATATATAATATATATATATATATATATATATATATATATATATATATAATATATATATATATATAATATATATATATATTATATATATATATATATATATATATATATATATATATATATATATATATATATATATATATATATATATATATATATATATATATATAACAACAAAATAGTAATAAAATTTAGCCATTACAACTAGATATAAGATAAAAATAAGAGGTTTTATGAGAAACTAATACTGATTTAAAACCTGTTTTTTTTTTTTTTTTTTAATTGTTTTAAATTGTTTTAAAAATACATAAGCATATATAAATTTGTCTTCGATAAGGAAAATGTTTATTGGAAATGGTCAACCTCCAAAATATGCATGACGAAAAATGACTTCTTATATCAGCGGACAATAAACAACACATAGCTATTTTCACAGAAGGTACTTTTTATCTACAACTTTTTTTATCTACTACTTTAGTATGATGTAAATATTTTGTAATAAAATTTAAATTTTCACTGAAGGTAATTTTAAAAAAACAATAATCAATTATATGAGCAGCATGTTTTGTTTTTTTTAAATATTTTTTTAAAATTTATGTTTGCTATCTTTAAGTTCTATCAAACTATATCATAGTATCAGTTGTTATAACAGCTGCATCTGTGTCGTCATTAAATCTAATTTTAATTAAAACTAAAGAATCTAATTTTAATTAAAACAAAAGAATCTAATTTTAATTAAAAGCTCTTGAAAATATATCCTTTTTCTTTTATATTTATTAACATGGTCTATCTTTTTCTGCTTTTTATTTTCTTTCTAATTTTGGTGGTGGTTTGACCTTACTTTTTTGGTGGTAAAGAGAGTACTTCTCATTCTTATTTATTGATATAGTTTGACTCCTCTATATAATTAGTATAAAACTTTCATGGTTTATTAGCAGCAAATTAGTCCTGGTTTCAAAAGCAGCTTAGATAATGGTCAAAATTATATTTTTGTTATTCAATAGATAAGAAAAACATAAAACTAGGATGTAAAAGAAATATAGTTTAATTATAGAGTATCAAGTACAAAAATTGTTCAACACCTTATCAAAACAGTGATACTATAGTAAATTTAAATAAGTATAGTTCACTCAATTATGATGAATTTATTTTTCTTATGGTTTTCCCTTATTTCCTTTCCATTTAAATGTTTTTAAAAAGTTATAGTCAGCTTTCTATTAATGACTCTGAGTTACTTATCAAAAAATATAAAGTACAAAAAATAAAAGTATTATAACTGTTATCTCTCACAGATTTGTTGTAAATTTATATACTTTTTGATTATATTTAAAGATTATATTTTCATTATCTTTTAATTAGGCAATATTTTTTAATTTCTGCAAAAGTTTTAAAGTTATACACTATAAGAAGGTGACTGGGGTCACTTTGTAATAATTTATAACTTTAAAACTTTACACAGCCCCTGCTAAAAATGGGATTTTTTACAAACCGGGCTCCAGCACACGCAAATTTATAAGATTTAGCAGGGGTTGATAGCCAGGGCTAGTAAAAAAATTTATAATACTTTATATAATATAAATTTATGCATACATTTATTATTTATTATAAATAAATATATATATATTTTTAAACTAACTTCTGACATAGTTACAAACAGCCACTATTAATTTATGAGATGCTAAAAATTAAAGGACATAGTTAAAGAGAAAGGAAACAGTTAAATGAAGACTTGAAATATTGTAGGTTGTATGAGCCAGGAAAACATGAAGATGGGAAACAAACAAGGTGAATAAATTTTTTTTTTAAGCATGGCTTGAGACAAATGCAGTAAAAAGATGCAACTTTGCTGAATGAAAAACCAAATGAGAACAAGTTTTAGTTAATTGAGCTAAAGATGGTAGCTTGTTTTAGAAGCAACCATGATAGTATTTGCAGAAAAAAGAAGACTATACAAGCCTTCAAGAATAATTTGATATTGCAGTGTAAAAGAAATGACTTAACAATCTTAATACCTTTATATGAACTAATACTAAAGAGAAGACTAATAGTTGGATATTTGGAGAGGCCAGAGTGTTTTCTAGAGTTTTCAAATATTTGAACAACTTATTTATCACTTAATAATAGTTTAGTGAGGAGCCTAGTATCACATAGGAACACATAATATAGTAATAAGGAGAGTTCTGGAAAAGACTTTTGTAAGATTATATTGAAAATGTTGTCTGAACCTCAATCTGTAGAAGATTAAAACTGAGAACTGACTTGAGAATTAACTGGCAGGAAAAGTATGGCTATAAGATTCAAATTAAGAGTTATATAAGAATTTATATATTTACATAATATATAAATTTACAGTTATATATTTATTATTCTGGGGTATTCTTATTATTATTCTGGCTCTAGTGTGGGGGGAATAATACACAGTAGAGGTTTAGTGGTAAAGCGCTTGCCTCATAAGCGAGAAGTTCCTATTTCGATTCCCACCATATGCTCAACTTGTTTCTCTGCACAGCGGTCTTGTTCGTTGAGGTTCGTGTTTCAGAGTTATAGAGTTGAGAGAGGGTTGTAATCACAAATGTAACCTTTTTGATTGTAGTGGTCCTCTTGGCCTTAAGAAGGTGAATAATTAAAATAATAATAATAATAATAAGATCACGTTCACAAGTTAGAGATTCAAAAATAAAGAAAAGGAATAAAAGTTTCCACAAGGTTAGGAAAGAGGCACATTTATGCATATATGGTATGAATTTATATGGATGTATAAATATATGTTTGCTGTTTATATAGGCGCTGGCATACAATTTTGTAGGTGTTTTTGATTGGTTTTTAGGAATTGATGAGTTATTGTACCCTAAAGTTGCTATAAATTATAGCAAAATTTTTGGATATTTTTATGTGCTGCAGTTCAATACCTAAAGACAGGCAGTACTAATTTTTTTCTACAATTGTGTAGTTAGAGCAAGCTCTTGTGAAATTATGTGTTATAAGTTAGTTTAACACTTGTAGCAGACTATTAAAATATCTTTTTTTTTTTTTTGAAAAATATAATAAAATTACATACACTTTGCAGGCATAGAAAATAGCATAAACAGTTGAAATAAATTATGAAACTTTTCACTGGCAAGGTTCTCTATATAGATAATAACCAAAAAAGATTTAAAGACCTATACTCTATCTAATGATATAATTTTAGCATTTTGAGTGCAATGCTTTTTTTGTTTAAAAGGATACCTTATATTATATTTCAAAAAAATAAAAATGCTAGAAGATGTATATACACTCATAAAACACAAGTACACTAATTTCTTTAACATAAAACACAAGTATACTAATCTCTGATTTACATAACTCATCATACTGTCATAATCATTATTAGCAAGTTTGTAATCGAAAGCACTTCTAC